TGCCTACAGGCAAAAAGACTACAATAGCTGCTTTTTTTCCCCCAGCGTTAGCCCTTTAGGAGACCATGCTGAGCTGTTCTTTTTTCATCATTCACTACAATACTGAAAATTTTTCAGTTGCTGCTTTCCAGAAAACAGCCACTTGTTCCGGAGGTGTGCCTTTATTCCTATAAAACAAATGGGCACTTGGCTATATTAAAGCATTTTTCACTTGAACAGGACAAGTCTAGCAGATGTCCAGATTTTTCTGCATGACTGGCTTACTTTTAATTGCCATTCCAATAATTTTTGGATTTCCCACACATTCTATTCAGTAGTGATTTTATTTTTACTTCCAAATCATTGATAAAGACACTAGATGGCATCTGGCCTGGGACTAGATTCTTTTATAGTCCTCCTAGAAATGCCCACATTCAATAAGGGTCCTCCTGCAAAAGATTTATTTTCCAAAATTTGCAAGGCAGATTTTAATCTACTTAACGTGTTTTGTGATAGCATGTAATTATTTTTAGAACAAAAGATGTAGATCAAATTTCTTGCAAGGACATACTCCATCTTCACAGTTAACTTGTAATTTACTTAAAGACCAAAATCAAGTTTATTTGAAGTGGACCTATTTTCCATAAAACTACTCTGAATGGCACAAGCCATATTTTCACACTTCTAATTTTTTTAAATCAGATGAATCATATTCTCCTTTATTTTTTCCCCAAGCATGTTTTGGGTTAATGTGTCTGCAGCTCACCGTTTCATTCACTCTTTCTGAACATCAGCCTACAAACAACTTTCTCCTAGGTTACAGGGATCTTTCCAGGACTCTAAAACTAATAAAAATTAACAACAGGCTAGAGATTTCATCTGCTGCTCTTTCATGTGGAAATTACTCAGGTTTAATAATTAATTAAGAACTTTCTATCTCTAGTCAGCATTGCTCAACATCCCTCCCATACGAGAGATGCTGTATTATACCAGCATCAAACAAGGGTGAGAAACAAGGCCAGAAACTTTCACTGTCCTAAGCCCTTAGTACACCTCTAGCATATACTGCAGAAATAGAGGGCAGGTTTAAAAAATATGCCAGCTTTTGATGGCAGCAACTGATACAGAAAACCTAGGAAGTTTAGCATTTCTTTTAATTTTCTCAAAAGACACAGCCCTCATTAGATAAGGACAGAGGGTTTTGTATCTGTTAATGAAACATTCACACATTTCTAGGGATCACCTCCCTACAGGAGGTGGCAAAACGGATGACTTCTGAGACAATCTCTTACTCTTCTGAAAATAAACTGAAATAATGGATATTCCTATAAAAGACAAAAAACTTCTTAAAAGCAAAGTTTTCCTGTCCGTATTTCTTGCTACTTCATTTGTTTTCTGAACTGCTTAAGCTTTAATACAATAACTGAAAACTTAAAATCACAAATGTGATTTTGACATATGATGATCATAAATGCCAAATGTTTTGCAGACATGAAGACATCTCTTGCCTGCTAAAGAACAAGAACCAAAATTGTTGTAGTACTTTAGATAACACACCATGATGAAATAATAGGAATGAAGCAATTAAGTGCTAACTTCAGCATACTACCAGCTCCTTTTATTAATATTATAGACATGAAGTGGACCAAGTGGAACAATTATGCAGATTTCCAACAGAAAGCATCAAATGAGGAGTCTAAGGTTGATAGTAAGCTTCAGCACTTAATTACATAAAAGTCTTGTGATAATATGGCTTTAAATCCCTACATAATAGTATGGGGAAGTATGCAGTTAATACCCATCAGTATCGAACAGTGGAGAACTCTAATTCACCAATACTTAACTTGGGATAAAACTTAAAATTTTACTATGTGTTGTCTACCCAGCAAAATAAACTAATATTTCTTAATTCAATTTTATTTAAAAAATAAGCTTATCTAAATATATATACTTGAAATAGGAATTACAGCAAGAAAGACAGTAAGAAATATCATTGCATGCATACAGCAAAATACTACTTTGAACATTTAGTTTTTGAAGACAATGCTGAAACTCTGAAAAAGGTAAATAATCAATCGGTCTGTTCAACAAGGTACACTTACATCTTCATTCCAGTCTTCTGCTGTCCATTCTTCTATTGAATTTTTCCATGCTCCTATCACAATTTGAAGAAGGAGAGAAAACAGTTACAAGCTAAAAGCATAATGTTGTACTTCAACTCTTCTGCTTTATAAGCAACCCGGTTTTCATTACTAGTGGAATACAACAGGAGGAGATGGTGGCTGGAAACATGGGAAGTTCTAGAAAACTGGTCTGCAGATTTAAAATTCTGGGAGAGATTTTTTTTTTCCCCTTTAATTTCTAATTTCAGGAATTTCTTAGCCACTAAGGTACCAGACATAACTTCCACGAACATATGTCTGCAACCAGTGATTAACCCCAAACTTTGGAATACCTTCCTCCTATGCCCCCAAAGACAGTGAGAGGTTACTCAACCCTCCCACGGGATCTCCCAGTCTCATGCACAAATTCGTACAGAGCCTGAACAAAACACAACCACAACACCTGCTCCAACAACCACAATCCTACTTTCCACATATTCAAATTCCACACCCAAGCTATGCCTCTGGAGGTTCCTTTCCAACCTAACTCTCTCCTCAGTACAGAACAACCCAATCACTTCCCCTGACAGAGTAATTTTATTTTAAAATAGATATAATTCATATATGGCAGCAGAAGAGTCAACAAGCTTCCAATGTGGCTGCAAAACACTTCCTCCCATAACTTGTGGCAGTCTATTTGGCGAATGCTGGAGTACAGCACACAGTTCACAGCAGGCGGCAACAGACAAACTACAGGAACGACCCTATGGATGCAAAAACCTGATCCCTTCCATAGGAAATAGCAGGCACAGACATGCAAGAGCAACAAATGGACTGAAGGCCTTGCCCACCAGCGTAAGCATAGGGAAAGTTATCCCAGCACCAGCCAGAGGCTTCATTTAAACTACACAACCATGAGTGAAGAAAACACCAGCAGTAAAGTTCCTGATACCATCACCTTCGATCAAATATAAAAGCAAAAGAATTACTGCTTTAATCATCACCTTTTACTTAACCAGGAACCCTCGGAGACACATTAATCCAGAAACAAGCCCCTGAAGACAGCATCAAATCCCATTTGCACTAATGCTATCACTGCACTAGTGCATTCTTTCAAACACCGTCACAAAGCAGCGTCTTGGGTAGAGGACGGTCAAACGGCACTAATCCAGTGAGGCAAACAGGCCTACCATGAAGATATACAGACAACAGGGAGAAGACAGAGGGTTTATACCTTGGAATCCAAAATTATTTGGCAGGTCCTGAGTAAGGTAACATCCGCTCTGTGTTGGCTCTGTGGAGCAATATAGAGTTGCCTGAAACATTTCGTGCTCACATTTTATCAAACAGCCCCTAACCAGAAGGTTTCTACATGCTGCAAAATAACTAGTAATCATATCCAAGCACAACAAAATTACTACTATGCCTCAAATTTCTAGACTAATCCACACATTTCCACAGAAATTTTAGAAAGGAGGAAAAGCCCAATAAGCAGCAGTTTTTAGAGAAATAGTTGATTTTCTTTCCCTTCCCCTGATCAGCACAGGGACCCTTCCTCTGATACTGCTTTTTTAAAGAAATATAACCCGATATCTGCCCTACTTACATTTATCTCCCATCAGACAGAGCAAGGCCTGCCTCTGTGATAGACAAACCTAATGCTGGTGCCAGATCTCTAACAACAGAGCTTGGAGTCTGCTAAAACAAACACAAAAAGAGCTCAGACAAACCAAGCCCAACTCTTGAGCATTCTCCACCACCTCTGGGAGACTGAACCTGTTTGTAATAATACCTGGGACATTTTCTTGACATTCAATTTAAACATTTACCTGTTGTAATGTTTATGAACATGGTTATGAACATGGTTCTGTGCATTTACTCTTTTTAAATACTGAGCACAACCCTGCACCCTTTTATTAGTTTACCTAAGCTGCTAAGTTTACTACTGTCGCTTACTAACACTCTGCCAACGCAATCCTTTCAGCCTCAGTTATTTCACTGCTCTTCTCTGCATTAAATCCTGTTTGCTAATGCACTCCTTATATTGATGGGATTCTAACTCTGATCTTGCCACAAGCACATCAATTTCCTTTTAGTGTAAAATCCACCTTGGCATTATTGTAATTCCATATATCCTCTTCCCAACCTTTCCCCATGCCTTGCAAGGTATCACAATTTAAGAGTTCTCTGTGTTCCACCGAAATTACGCTTCGTGTTTTCAATCTTTGTCATAGCAACTTCAACCTAGATGGCTATCTGTGACTCTTTCCTGTTTGCCTTTGTAACAACTTCAGTTTTAGAAAGTTACAAAGCCAATAAAAAGTATGTATGTAATGTTTTCAGTAAGTCTTCAGCTATTTTTGCACCAATTCCTCAATTCCTGTCATACTTTTTTCTTTTTCCTTTTTTTGAATAATCAGCCATAGATGTTAGCCTCAAAATAATTTTATTTTGGTCTATCCCAAACTTATATACTAATTCTTTCCTTCTGGATTGCATTCACATTCTAGAATGACCTGAAAGTTTCCTTAAGATGTTCCTTCCGATTTTTACAGCAGTCCCCAAAAAAAATCCCCAACTTCCTTGTAACTTCCAAACTACAAAATTTCCTTCTTCCTCCTTGACAGTTACACTGTAATTTATTTTTTTATTTCCTGTTATTCTTCAGTTTCAGAGTCATTTAAGGTTGCTCATAACTAAGATAAAGTTTTTCTCTGAAATTTATTAAACTCTCTCAAAGTAGAGCTATCAGTAAATTATCAGAAAACAACCATTTTTATAACCTACTTTGAGAAGTGACCACCTCCAACATAATTTATTTACAAGTACTGCTGTGATTTGTCGCTCAGGATCTCCCTCTGCCTTGTACATTACAAAAAAAGTAAGAGACTGAACACTCAGCATTCCTCTAAGAAAATATTAATCATGCTGTTCAAGTTTATTCCCTTTTGGATGAGGACTGGTCATTTTGTTTCCTCCCATCTGCCCCTTCTCCCTTTCAGTTGTACCTTACCTGTATAAAAATTAGGATGCAGGAAAACCAATGCTGAATTATTTAGAATGTAATTACACTCACATGTTACACGCCATTAAAGATTTACCCTTTACTCTCTTTTTATTTCAGCCAACACCACTAAGTTTTACCTCCACAGAACCAGCTAGCTTTTCTACAGGATTACATGATAGTGCACCTAGAAACACCTTTCATTCAGGCTACTGCAATTCCTCTGGCATCTGCAACAATTCACAAGAGGTTCTAGAGTGCTTTCAGAGCACGTATGAGGGCAACTACATTTTGGAAACAAATGGTGTATTTCTTTTTAATTGAAAACATTGATGTTCATCATTTCCCATCATTGGCTTAAAGAGGAAATACTTAGTAAATACTCAGAACTCCACAGAGATTTTATATTTGCGTGATATCTTCAGAAAACATTTTGATAAGCAAATTGGCTTTGTTTCTCCAGGTAGCTGCCCATTTATCTCCTTTTTAACGCAACTGCAGATGAAAGACACTAATTTTCCAAGTAGCTAGTATGAGCTAATTTTGTTCTCTTTCTTTTTAGATGAAAGAAGAAATGGGACTGAGTAATGAGGACTAAAGAGGGGGATTTCCATCCTGCCCCTCCTCTCTGTATACTCTTATCTGACATCCTTCATTAGCCCACTGCAGGCTTTATTAATTTCCATACTTATACATCACCCTTATTCACAACTTCAGTAACTCCACACTGGGAACTTATTACTGGGACTGTTGATTTGTAATTAACATAACAGCACTGTAAATTAAGGAAAAAAAAACAACTGAAAATTAATATTTGTGATTAACAAGCGAAACCACCAGCTCAACTTTGTACAATCTCCTTCCAGCCCCATACCTTATCTGCCACTAAACTACCGCTGCTTCCATCTTCCTTCCCAGCACTCTCTCTTCTGCTTTAAAACTACTACGCAGCTGCAGTCTCCTCTAATAACCCTCAAGATGCTTTCCATCACAAGGCTGAAAGTGCTTCCCACTTGGACAAAACTAAATTATTCCATTTCAAAGCCTAAACTTTTTAAAGAGATTTCTTCTTTTTGGCTCAGGGACTCATTTCAGACATTCCTACGGCTTGTCTAAAGAAGAAATACTGTAAAATAAAACACTCTTCCTATAGACAGACATAGAGAGACATTTTTGTTTTGTCAGATATGTTGCCTTTTCCATTTGCACTGAAAGTAAATTAAGATTGGCAGCAAAAAGGCACTTAGCACCCAAAAAGAACATTCACACTTAACTAGTTTGCTTTACATTTCCACCAACCAAATGATTTGCACAAATTCCCCGCAGACACGCATTCATTCATACCCCTAAGAATCAATAATCTGATGAGGCCAGGGAAAATTCCCCAATGCCTTCTCATATCTTCTTCTCCATGCCATGCTGCCCAATTTCTCATACATGCCTTAAGTTGCATTACTGAAGTGCAGTGCACTTCCCAGTGATATGGGCACAGCCTAACAGCAAAAATGCACCTGGCATCCAAAAAGAAGTTCCACACATCAATTAGTACACTTTGAATTTCCATCAGTCTCTTTGCTCAGCAGCAAATCCCTCATGTAGACACATTCATACTCTCACAGGGAACTGTCTACTCACAGCAAGCTACTCTTATCCCTAGGTAGAATTCTTCCATTACTGAAGACTGAGGACATGCCTACAAGGTTGCCCTAGGGGAGACACATAAAGGCTACCCAGAGTTAGCAGGGAGGGTCACAACACATTCAAGCTCACTTGGAAAGCAGAGCACAAGTCAAAGTCATTTGTAAGCCACTGCCTTACAGTTGCACTCATTAATAACTAACCAGTGAATTTTCTACCTTTGGTCCACTCTCCTCATGCCTTTCTTGTATGCCTTCTTTCTTTAGTTAGTTCACCTTACTGCTTCGGCAATACTTGTGACAACATACCCTGCCCTCTACTACCATATAGCAAACAACAGTATCAGTATTCCTAGGAGAATTTTCAAGTCATTAGGTGTCCTTCTAACTTATTATCTGATAAACTTACTTGAAAAACTAACATGAGTGAAAGCAAAAGGCACTTTTCTGTTTGCGCTATGGCACCAAGTAATTTCAAAAGTAATTCCTTGGAAAGATGCCACATTTGGCAAAAAAGCTTCCTTTCAATAACCATTAATATACTCAGGGCCACTCTCCCACACTGGACTAGAAGGCACTCAGAGTGACAAGATGGCTGCCTAATAAGCTCTCCTAAAGTCTGAGCCTGTTACTGTCTTCTCTGGTTAAGTGGAAAACGGCTTGTATGAAGTTTAGAAAACTGCATCTCAAGTGGCTCTCAGCACAGCTCAATGGAGCACACCCTGGCCTCCAGTATCAGTCTTTTCCTTCCACACTTGACATACGGTTTGATGAAAAAATCACCTGAGTACACTTGAGCAATGAAGAAATCAAAAGAGTTACCCTTTGCTGGTGACAAAAAAAAAAAATCTCTCCTATCACTCAGTGATTCCCAAGTGTGCACAATAATGTAGATTAATTTCTCCATCCTGACACAGCGTTTCCTTTGTCTTCCATCTCCTGTCACAGAATATGAGAAGCAGCAAGGTATTCTGTCTTCCCAACCACAGACAAGCAGGTCACATTCTTCATTTCTGAATCATCATGAGATCACTGTTAAGTGGTTCCTTTCCAAACTATGTCTGTCTCTTGCCTTTAGCCGTGAGTGATACTCCACACTTGAAACTTCATACAGAGACACATAGCTGCCTCCATCTTCAGACAGGCAGACTGATCTTTTGGCTTCCATTCAAGTGGTTACTCGTGCTTTAGTTAATAATTCTTCTCTTCAAAGGTGGCAGATCTTGGAATTCTCCTCCACCCCAGAGACTCACATCCTTACATTGTACAGGTAGGGCTTCCAAAGCCATCCGACTGTGGGTTCATATTTGCAAACAGTTTTCTTTTTCTTCTTCTGCTTAGATACTCACACCCTATTGCCCAATGTCTGTGGATCAATCACTTTTAGTAGGACTTATATTCCTTAACTAGATTAGGTGAGCTCTTAAGTAGTACTTAAGATTTCTAAAGAGTTCTTCACATAAAAGGTTCTTCCCTTAACTCTTCAAATCCCTCTGTCTCTCAAGGGATTGGAGATTGTTAGTACTAAAATAAAAAAACTGCAAACTGTCTTCCCTTCATTCTAACCAGATAGTCACTCAGGCTACAGCATGTGCTCTGCACATTAGTAGCAGCTAAGCTATGAAAGTAAAAAACAAAAATAACTGTGTCATGTGAGAGGTATGGACATTTTCAGAAGTTAACTGAACACTAACGGAATGGTTATTTTAACCACAATTTGCTACAGGTCTTCATTCCAAGCCTTCCACTTCTTGAAGCATCTTACCAGTTCCATCATCTGCATCACTCTGACCAGTCTCCCAAATCTCTGATTTTGTCCCAAAGCCATCAGTGGCAGAAGACTCCGTATAATCTGCAGGGTTAAATGTCCTAGAGTTTTAAAAGTTAAGAAATGGAAGAGAACACATGGGTCATTCAACGAACACAAGTGTCATCATTTTTAGCTGAAGTTGTATTAGAATTAACATCTTGATTTCCACATAATTTATCTTGATAGTTTTCGTTTCAAAAGAAATTTTTCCTCTATGAGCAGACACAGATAAAAAAGGGAGAAAAGAAGTAAGAGGAGAAAAAAAGGGAGGAGACTGGAAAAAAAAATTACTGTAGAGAAAATGAACCTGAACAACTCCCAAAAAAGCAGTTAACAGTATACCTACTCCTCCCAGTCTTACAAAGCATTAGTTTATATGCACAATGGTAAGCCCCTCTCAGCTGATAGTTTCTCAGTAGGTTGCCGACTGATGAGAAACCAATATCACATCCTTTCAGAGCATGAGACTTGCGCAGGACAGGAGCCAGAACATCAGTAAGATTATTTCAGAATGCACTCCTGACACCAATGTCAAAACACATAGATGCAGCTAAAAAGTGAAACGGGATTAATGAGGAAAAAACTCTTCAGTTAACGATCTACAAGTGTGAACAAGAAGTATTATTAGAGAAGTAGAATGAGCCTTCTGTTCATCGTGACATCACTGATATTACATGAAACGTCATTAAAGGCAAACACTGAGTGAAAGTGGTGGAGGCCACACTTCGATGAAGCAAGTTATTCCAACAAGACTGAGAACAAACTTTAGAGCTGCTGAGTAACTCCTTTTCATTCTGGTTTAGGGTCCATGTATGTCCAAACAGCTAAAGCATGAAACCTCAAAAACAGGAGAAAGTTGATAATTGCTAGACTTCCTAGTTTTACATAGAACTTGCACGTTCTACGTTACACTGAAACAAATTTGTTTTTAAATTGATCTAGGACTAATCGTACCACACAGAACTTTCAGCCTTCAAGGCACTATGTGGCTGCTTCCGATAGGTACAAATGGGTTCTCCAAGACTGAGATATTAACATTGAGTGAACATACATTAGGTTTGTATCTGTGTGTCTAGTTAGAAATACTGGTTTAACACAAAAATAATCCATTAATCATCTAACAGATTTGTGAATTTTTGGATCCATATTGGTTTATCAAACATATAGTAATATTAATACATACAGTGGCAATACTGTCAATTAATATTGACACTAAGTTTGATCCTTGCCAAAATCTGTGCTCTGCATGTTTCTTACCCCATGCCTTGGGCTGAAAACCTCCCCGCTCCTCTCCCTCTGCCACGTCCAAACCCTAGGAGAGAAAACACCATTTAACAGCAACAGCAGAGGAGCCACCAAGCACTAGTCTGTCACATTAGAAAACAGTATGGTTGAAGAAAAAAGCTACCGTAGTTAAAGTTAAATATAATTTACTTCACTTCCCTAATTTCCTCACAGGAGAATTTGTCTCCCTAACACACACAAGTAAGCCACAGTCATCTAAGACTATGCATTTCAGTAGCACTTGCAATTCTTTGCCACCTCTTCTGTATCTAGTGAACTAGCTCCAAATGCCAAGAAAAGGACTTACCTAAAGACCCATTCCACATGAGACTGCTTTTGCCAAATCATTAGATCTTGTTCCAAATTTTGTTTCCCAAAAATGCTCTAGAATCCCAGCCTCCCTGCATACCCTGATGTCTCAAGAAATTCCCAGTCACTCCTTGCCTGTAAGGAGCAAGTTTAAATACTCCAGTTGTTTCCTTCTCTCACTCAGCCCACCTGTTCACCCCCACCCTCCTGTGCTTTCACCAACCTGCGACCACACATTCCTTCTGCTTCCCCCTTAGTCACAGTTACCAACATGAAAATTAAACCAATTCAAATTACTCAACCAACTTCATTCTTATCACCCACAAGAACATTCATTTCTATTTTTACAAAAACAATTATTTGTTACCTCCAATTTTGGTTACCAGCCCCAGTTTACAAACTTCTTGATACACTGAATGGCTTTATTTTTGCATGTTGCATAGTGCTAACAAAGCATGAAAATTTTCGTATTACTTAACCGTTCATAAAGCACATGTCTACATAAACTTTAAGAAACTGTTTCTTACATGCAGCATATTTCTACATAGATTCTTTTTTTTCTTTTTTAGGACCTCACTATCTGAGGCTTTTCCAGTTTGTTGGTTATTTTGAGAAAGACTATTGAGTATTATTTTGAATTACAAGAACAGGAGGTTAAGAGCTGCACACTGAGAATAAAGCGAGGTTTATTTTAACAACATATAAGTGGTAATAAGTCACCAAGAAACACAAGTTTACCAGAGCACAAAAGTCATAATCCTAAGTCACCAATACACTGGTTGACCAAACATCAGACCTACACATGATTAGCTGTTTGAATCTGGATCAAAATTACCCCTTATTTTCAGGGGACTACCTAAACTGAATAAGAGCAGTAGCTCCAGGACACAGTAAAACTAGCTTAGGAAGTTTTAAAGACTGTTTAAAGACTTTCCTTTCCCTTCCCTCACCAATCGTTCTTCCCCTTGCCCTAGTTCACTATCCAAGCACTAAAAGACATTTCTGGACCTCTAAAATGCCTACTATCTACATTTTCAAGGACTTGTTAGAAGCATCAAAGTAGCAGCACAGCTTTACTCACATTTTGATGAGAGTACACCCATATCCTATACAAGATGACAACTGCTAGCTACAGAGGAATGATCAAAACCTGCAGAGGAAGGATTCCCATCCAGCAACACAGCATTTTGGTAGGGCAAGAACACAGAAGAACTGAAGTCCGGCACTAGGCAGGCCTGTTATCTCTACATTTTCCCCCTCTTTCGTCTCTTTTCACAATCAGTTGGAGAGAAGACAGAGGTTAGGAAAGAGGTAACAACAGCTGCAATCCAGCAATCGTCATCACTCTTCATTGAGCCCACACACAGAGCTGTGCTCTTTGCTCTGCCATGAACAACAGTGCCCCAGACCCTGCTGTACCCAACTGATTGTAACTCAGCCTCTGAACCTCCTTGCTCAGCCTACCTATTCTACTGCTCTTCTCTCCTTTGCCCACCAAAAAACCCCAATCTGGGAAGCTGATCCATGGTCTAATGAGGTTGCAGCTCTCAGATGTACAGAAGTCAGTGCACTCTGGATTATCTTTCTCTCCAGTAAATAATTTTTTTTTAAGGGCTGAACCAGCTAAACAAGTTTATTTGGGGACATTGTAGGGGCCATCTATGTAATAAATTTACTTACTACAGCCACCAATACAGCATTAAACACTATTTACTAATGATGCGCATAAGAGAGATCAACAGTTTTTTGACAAGCTCAGCTACAAGACCAATTGGGAGCTGCAAATCATAGAAACAGTCAAGCAGAAATACTTTTGAGCAAGGCGGACATTAGGTACAGAGAGATTAGCTGGAATAGCTAGCATGAAAGCACACACAAATTTTAGAAGAGAAGGTAAGTCTCCTCAGCCTCCCAAGTGCAAAAGCCTGAAAGAATAACCTTAGTGTATTAAACAGAAGATTAAGGTTTAGCAAGCGAGGCATGTGTAAGATGCTGTAACAGCAGGGGCACAATAAACTACTGGCTAAAACCAGCAGCAAGAATCTCTAACGATTTTAGAAACTGCTAGGAAGAAATCATGTTGTTCCTCAAGTTCCACGCACAGTCTTGGACTACCACCCAGCAAGGGTTTGGGTTTTTTTATACTACATCACTTCGGAAGTTATCCCTGAACTTGAATTTCAAGTAGATTCCCTTAACTTCATAACGCTGTATCTATGCTGTCAAAGCCGAAATTAAATTAAGTTTAATCAACAAACGCAACAAAAAGCATTCTAATGAAGACAAAAGGGAAGTACCAAACCAGTGCGGTTACAGAAAGCACTAAATTCAAAGCTAGAAAACACACTTATGAAGTAGTAATTCAAAACACAGGACAATAAGTACTCACAACTGAAAGACTACCCTAACTTAGACATGGAAACTCATACATCAAGGTTATTAATGTAAGATGCTGGTGGGAAGGGCTGATATTCTCTTTGACACAACCAGATCACTAATATATTCTTAAATTCTCATGCTAAGAAAGTTACTTCTCTCAGCTGCCAAAATTAAAACATGGCCTTAAAACAATTAGAAGGCAGTGTCTTCTAACACAGAGAAGTTAGTCATGAAGCAACTATGAATGCCCATCAGGTATTTGCAAACTTTTGGTGCTTTTTAACAGTGACTAAAAGCGCAGTGAGCAAACGGGGCTTCACACTGCAATTCAGAGCAGGGACCCAAATTCTGAGCATGCAATCCCACAGTAGTTTAAACCCATATAAATCAGAACTACTACAACTGAGGTCTTCCTCGCCAGTGATGACAAGCTCTGCTCTCTTTCCTGCACTGACAGTTTTGCACATACCAATGAGTGAGCACAAAACCACAACCAGAAAACAAAATTACTAGTTCATTTTTGGATCAGCTCTCCAAACCAGTTCCCTGCTTGTCAAATGCCAGAAATCTACTCACCGTCACACCAGGATAAGCCACCAAAAAAACCTGTTGTCCCCAGCTACCATGCTGCCTGCTCACTTTCTTCTTTTGCTTGGTTAGTTTTAAATTTAGATCAATCCTCTGATTCAGTTCAAATACACCAGGAGACAGACAGGACCAATTCCTCCCAGAAGTAATGCCAGTTTATGCTTGTAAAGTAAAATGTACAGCTTTAACACTACTCTAAAAAGATGTGTATATATAGTTTAGATCGCAATGGTCAATGTTTACAAATTTATTTTTTTTTCCTGTGGCAATTCACAATCAGCAATTCTTCTATTAACATTTTTATCTACTTACAAAAAGAGAACAACTGACTTGGCAGTAGCTCATTAAATCTTCCAGTGAGTCTAAAGGAATAGATTTTCTTACAATCAATCAGCACGTGGAGCACAAAAGCAAATGACAGACATCAACAAAGAACAAAACTACTACCCTGTCTCACATAAACCCTCACAACATTTCTTCACATTCCTTTACACTTGGATCTACAAACAACAGCCTAAAGTATCAAGGCAGCATTGCTTACGCATTTCTGTTCCAAAAAACCAAGACTGGGGAACTACATTTGAAGCTGATTCTGATCAACATGCCTGCTATTACCCCTATCCAACATCATTTAAAAAAATGAACTATTTAAAGCACGGATTTGTTTCCTTTAACATTGTAGCTGTTCAACTGTGTATTGTTGAGGTTTTTTTCCTGCTCTTCAGCACATTTCCCCCAGTTGACTAGGTTCACATAGACTATCACTTATTCAACTTACATTTTTCTTTTCTGGAATGAATGTTAGAGAAGTTAACACTTACACTCAGGCAGGTGGTGAGATTTTCTGTTTCCACTAAAACCCACTAGGAGTTCAAAACATTCATAATCATACAATCAAGTCTTCACTCTGGTACCATCCACGCATGAAAAAAATCATTCACCTCACCGACAACTTTTCTTCCCCCAAAACAAACACACATTACATGGGAGCATGAGAAAAGTGTGCAGTACAACAACTCGGATGGGCTTTGCCCATTAACTTAACAGCCTATTCTGTAGAAAATCCAGTTTGCTGAGCTTGCAGACCTAAATCCTTCCACTGCAACACAGATGCTTTATGTCAAAACTCAGATTTTCACACTGACAGGTTGTGAAGACACTTTAAGTTTAAGAAAGAGGCCTAAGAACAGCTGAAAGGACGAGGAAATACAGACTGGAAGGGCAGGCAACATCCTAGATCTGTGTTTATCTCTGACTACACAGTAACTGAATGGCCCTCATCTCTGCTCTGGAAACGCAAGGCCAGACATCCTCCCAGCAGACACCGAGGTGACGGAGGCTTAAGCATTATGGAGGCTAAGTATACGAAGTTTGTATTCTAGATATCCCATACTACCAAAACAAACAATGGAGTTACATTTAATAATTCAAATCACTTCTGTCTTATTAGTCATCATAAAGCTAGAAGCATTGGATCAGTTTTATATACTGCATGTACTCTAGTAATCATTTTTAGGAGCACGTGCATAAAACTTTCAACTCTAAAGTTAAGTTATTTATTTTCTTCTAAACATATGTTAAACCTAAGATTCTGGTTAATCTCAAAAAACAAACATTACATGACTTACACAGCATTCAACCAATGCAGAATCAACTACAGCAAAACTAAACAGACTTCAGATTGTGACCTCCAGAAGGCCTGCTCTACATTCACGTTTTAGAAAAACCAACATCCTCATCAGTTCTGGCAAAAGACATTCAAATATATAAGCTAAGCTTTCATAACAAGAAAATGGCTAGACATGCTATTCGGGTTACAGAAGCTCAATTTTTTCAAGCACAGCATACTTCTTATCTAACAAAACGTTAAAAAAAAAAAGACATCAAGAATACAAGCTGGACTATAGTCAGACATTTAGAAAAAGGGTAAGCTGCTTTGCCTTCTTATACAGTCAGTAGAAAAATCAAGAGTTTGAAAGGCTCCTTTGTCATGCTGTTTAAGTTCAAAATTAAAATGTGTTTTTCCCTTTCATTTTTATTCTTGTTTTGCTATAAAGAAATTCCCTGTGAACATCCACATTTACAGTACACTCATATTGCTCTGGAAGAATGAAAAGGAAGAGAATAGAAGAACAGAAGTAAAAGCAACAAATCCATTTTCACTTTGCAAACTAGGAGAATTGCTACACACTAATCTGTAACAAATTCTATGTTGAATCAAGTCCAAAATTTCATCTACCTGCTAACCCATTATCAGCTATGGTCAGTTAGATATCTAGGGAAGAGCACATAAACAGAAACTACAGTGCACTTTCTCTGGAAACTCTTCTGGTCTTTAACCATTTGAGGATCAGACTTTCTCAATCAAAGAAAACTTACATACATCAAAACCCTCCATGTTTTTTCCTTTTCTTGCTGTGGTTTTTTTTAGGACAAAATTGTCAAGTCTCTCTGTGTGTAAATTTTCAGCATCTACAACATCTTATTGAAAGTAATTCCTCAGGTTAACTACATGTATGAAGAACTGCCTCCATAGGTTCATTTTGAACCTGTAACCTACTGCTTTCACTTAATGTTCCCTCATTTGCATATTTGCTTGGAGTGATCAATTCATTTCTCCACAGAACCTTTTCCACAGAAATTTTATAGATCTCTACCATACACCCACTCAGCCCTCTCTTTTGCAGAAGGAGAAGTCCTAGTCTGCTTGTTCCTCACACCCCATAAATGCAGTCTTCCCAGTACCTTCAAAAGCCTTTTCTAGCTCTGTTGCATCCTCTTGGGTTGGAGTACAGTGGGAGAACCAGACCTGCACTTAAAACTGAAGATGTGAGAACAGTAAAAAACAGCAGCACAAAAAAAAAAATTGTGCCTGTAAATTCTGTCAATTTGTATATAACACTGCAGCTGATTAAAACACAAATTAGGCAACATTTCTAGAGCTGACAATCCTAAAGACATAACCATCTTCCTCCATAATTCCTTCACAAGCTTCCATTCTGGACAGTTACAAATTCTTGCAATACTGACACACAAATATAATCACTTTGGTGCAATTACTATTCATCACCATTATAGTATTTTTTACATCTAAATTAAGCTCATTCAAGAAAGTCAGTTCTGAAAAGAAAGACAGATGGGAAGGCCATCTTAAAAAAAGAAATTCCTTGACTCCTTTCCAAGCCAAAGTTTACACCCTCGGTTTAGCAAGGAAAAATTAAGGGCTGAGCAATTCTAAGCTGGGATGTGTCCTGAAAGACATTCGGCGATGCATTTTTGCGTTCTGTTAATCAGTCAATAGCGCCTATTTACTTCAAATCCCTGATCTGCACACCAGCAACCAGTGGTGTTTGTACACTGTATACCTATCACCCTACAAAGTTGCGAAGAATGTCACACAGTCATAAACAGAAGATTTACTGCACAAGAAGTTAGTGCCTACAGCACCAAGGCTGAAATACTCAGTATCAGGGTTTTTCCCTCTCAGTAAACAGCACATAATCACCCCAGTGTCAATCCCATTTCTGCTATTTTCAGTGTGTATAATTTCCTAAAATTAGGTTGTTCTACAGTGAACCAGTAATATGATGGCCTAGCAAATCTTCCCCTAGAAAGCAGCCGGTAAGATAACTCCAGTCTGAGAAGGTTGCTTAAAATAGAGACACAGTGCGCTGTTCAGATATTAGCTGACCCCTAATTTTGTATCCAATGCCTAGATTCCTAAACACACACACTCTGCATGAAACATTTCTAAAAAAGGATTCTGTGATGATTACCAGCAGTCTATTTACTTTCAGCTAAAGCGTTTTACCCCACATTTGACTATTCTGTGTAACAGAAAAGAAAGAGTACTGAATGAAATGGCAGGAAGCTTTTTTTTATTATTTCGACTAATATCCAAAGAAAGAAGGTCATTCATCCCTGAAATACTGAGAAGTCAATTACACAGCTTTATACCACTGCCTGCAGGTTTCAAGGGCTTGCATTATAAAATTAAATTATGCATTTCCTGCCACAGAATACATACATTTGTAATATAATGATCCTGAAGTCGTTCAACAGGTTTATCACAGACAGTTGAGAACACTTCATTAAGATATTTTGCTCATATGAATGTACAGTCTAAAATATTTGGTAGAGAGATACAGCAATACTATGAACACTGAGCTAGTGAACAAAAATTGGTTGAAGTTGTTCCTATTTCTGCAGTCAGATACATCAGTTTGAGCTGATGATTAAGTGCTTTGGCTCGAGACATACAATATTCATCTAAAGTGCTACAGCGTTGACAACAAAAGCAGTGTATTGTCCATAAAGTTACAAAGCAAAAAATAGACTGCATTTGAAATTAACCTCTAAGTTTCACCCAACAATTGAAAAAAAATCCTACCTTTATAATTTGAGTATAAATTATACTTAATTAGTGCTAACATACCAAAAAATGTAGCTGTGAACTACACTACACCCTCCCCTGCAAAGCTACCCCTCTGCACACACCATTTGGTATTTGCTCATTCACAGGCACAAGTCATTCTTGAAACTCTCTGGAAGCTACATGTCTTTGCACCTTTCCACTCCTTCAGGATGCAGATCTGGAGACAATTAAGTTGGATGTGCCTGTCTTTGAATGCCTTGTTACTGGATATTCCAAAGAGAAGGGAGTCCTTTGAAGGCAGAACTTTTCACAAGTCAGACAGTACTTATTAGCTCTGCTGTCCACTTTATCAGTTTAACTCATTTAATACCCACTTCCCCACACAATCTGCATTGAACCTAGGTTACTCATTTTCATTCCCCCTGTTCTAAGAAAAAACAAGCCTCTTTCCACTCCAACGTGTGAAAATCCAAACCAACTACACATCCCTTGATTCCAATTCAAATCCATCATCAACATCTGTTATCTCTTCTACAGGATAGCATGAGAGTTGTACCTAAGACTCTGCAGTATTCTTTTTCCACAGTTATCATCAACTCTTACATGTCAAATTCTTTCTCTTACCAACAAGTCTCTAAGGTAGCTTGTATTTTCTCTGATTTGCTACAGAAAACAAAAGGCAAGCCTGAAGATCAGATCCATCCCAAAGAAACAGCACACATCACAAGTACACATCAAATCCCTCCCCAAGAGCCCTACAGATGGAATCTTGTACTCTCCTGCTGCCAAGGCACATCCGGAGGAGCCCAGTGCACTCCCAGTCACAGGAGGCTGGCATGAGTCGACCTGGGAAAACAGCTCTCCATAGCCAGAGCACACCAGCTTGCTACACAGGAAAGCACCATTAAGGTGATTTGTATCAATTCTTCTAAGTTCATCTGAGGCCAAGTGATGACAAGGGGTAAGGGAGGGGGATGTATCTAAATTAAAGGTGGCTGAAGTGCTTATAGAATCAAAGGATAACCAACAAATGCTTAAAAACAAGTGTTTAAAGAAATAAATGGGAGAGTTGCATTTTAGGACATGAAATCAGCGCCAGTCCCACACCAATGCCACCATCTCACCTCTCCCACGGCCACGTTTCCCACGGTCTGAAGGCCTCTCTCCTTGATTGTTGTCCACTCCATTCTCTTCAGCTCTAACTGTGGAGAGAGGACAGCTTAAAAGAAGCCTCAGAGACTCACAGATGAGACAATATAGCCATCTGCTGAAACCCAAAAGAAATGGCAAGATTTTAAAGTGGGCTGGTCAACAGATCTTGGTCATCCTTTTTCTTTGGGGACCTAGCTACAACCAAGTTATATTACTTTGCACTGGACAAATAGGAAGCAAAATATCTAATAAGGGGGAAATGTCCATTAGCAGACACACTTCTG